CACCCCCGCCTTGCCTAACTGCCTTCTATTTTCTAACTAGCTTAGCTACCACTATAAGAGGCTTGATCATCCATGGATTTCATTATGGAGGATGGGGGAGATGCTCTGGAGCCAATCCCCTCCGGATAACCAAGAGCAACTGTACTCGTCTGGTAGGGTGATGGATGGTCTGGAGAATAAACCTAGGATCAGTCCTTCCGAAGGGATCTAAGGCAAATTAGGTCAACCTAACATCTATCGCTTAAATTGGGAGTGGGAGAAAGGACGACAGAATGTGAGCTCCACCAAGGAGAATCCTAACTTCCTCTAAATACCTAAAACAGTTCCTGGCACATAACATGCATTCAATAAACACTTGACTAAACGAATAGAGCAAGGCTAGACAGAATACTAGAAAGGAAATCAGGAATTGGAGGCTGAATTCGAGGGCCAAAGGAGTCAAGAAGAAAACTCAGTGACAGAATTGAGCATGTCCGAAAGAGCTAGTTTTGAAGTATAACTGGTAGCTATGGTAATGAAACCCGCATTTCTAATATGACCAGAAGGGATGAAAACCCTCTAGATTTCCAAGAATTATCTAATCATCTAAAGCTGTTTCTTCCTAAATGCTTGCCTGCACACCCTCCCTGTTCTTTCTGCGCTCACAAAGCACGAGGGGGACAAGGGATCCTACCAGAAGAGGCAGGCGAGTAAAGGGCCAGAGCAACAATCCTGCGTCCGCAGTAACTGCAGCACCTTTCCCAGTTTGAGAGTTCATTAACGGGCGAGCTGAAAGCAGCTGAATTGAAGAAATAGCGTGAAATCCAAACAAGGATAAGGTTACAAGCCCGTGCCCAACCCTGTGGACGACTGGTTTCAGGCTCTCCCATCAGGGTACAGTTGCCGCCAGCTCACCGGATGTAGGCGAGACCTCTAGGTAAGTCAAAGTTGGGGCGACTCCCTTGGGCGGGCGGAACAATGCCCTCAAAGCTCATTACAACACTTGGTCCAAAGCACTCATTTTAGCAGGAGGAAGCCCTCGCTCCCTCAGAAGTCTCCGTCCCGCCCCCACTCCCACACACGCTAGCGCACAGGAGCCGAAGGGTGACGTCATCCCTCCACCCTCACTCCCTGCAACGCCTAGACGTAGTAAATCCAACGCCTATGGTAAGCGCCAGGAAAGAGCGGCCTTCGGAGAAAGGGCACCCTGGGGCGCAACGTACCCTGCTAGCTGGTATGCGCGCGCAGCTCGCTAGCACAGGCCCTGGATACCACAGCCAATGAGGCGCGAAAATGTCATCACGCAGTAGCCGGCTCGGCCGAACGTCTGCCGCGGGAGGGCCGAGCGAGTGTGGTTGCACCAACACCGGTACTTAGCCGTGGATCCGCGTGTCCTTGGGGTAGAGAGCGGGGCGTCTGCCTTCTGAGCTGGGACTTTGTGGTAACGGCGAAAGAGCGCTGAGCCTCGGACGTGGAAGCCGCAGCAGGTGAGAGTGAGGCTTGAGAGGGAGAGCCGTGGGGGGCGCGCGGGCTGTGTGAGGCCCCAGCCCAGGATCTTCGAGCGAAGCCTGCCGCGGCGGGTACGGCCGGGAGCGGAAGCCGGTTACCGGCCGCTTGAACCTGGTGGATTAGGACTTTAGGTGGAGCAGATCCCTAACTGGACAGAGGTGTGGACTCGGTCAAGGACTGTAGAAGGCTTGGTTGCTGAGCCGACGAAGACGCGGCTTCTGGCCATGCTGTGGCGGTTCACGGCCTCCTTCTGAGAGCAAAAACTGCTGCTTCTCTAATAAGGGGTCAACTTTTTATTCCCTATCTTTTTTTCTGTTAACCGCTCAAGCATCCCGGAAGGGTGGGGTTCATTAATCTTGAAACCTACCTGGAAGGGTGACCTCGTGGTAGCTCCCAATCTCAGATGTGGAATGTGTAAAACTCCAGTCCCGGCTCCACCTCTCAGTGACAGCATTGCGAGTTACAATGACTTACTTAAATTGCACTTATGACCTAAGAAGGCTGAAACAGCTAAGCCCTTAGGGGGAATAAAAAGAAATGTTTTTTCAGAAGGGGCTTTAAATTGTAGCACAATGAAGTAATTAGGCCATTTTAAAAGTTGGAATCTTAGTGGTTTTGGTTTAATGTAATTCCACTTCACTTCCATATTTGTGACTCTTTGACCTTGAGCTCCTCGTTTGAAATTGAAGTTTGAGCTGGGTTCCCACTTAGCTTACTTAGGCTTTTAACCTCTGGCCATGTACATAGGTAACGTTTAAAGGAGGTTCTCCTAAGCAGTGTTTTTGATATTGAACAGTGTTCTAAGTCTTTTAAGCAAAACAAGATTTATCCATCTTCCTGGTACTTAAAATCATTGATAAGCAGTTAAGTGACTTAAATATCTTTGGTTTTTTGGTACCGGGGGGATCAAACTCGGGAGCTTGCGCTTGCAAGGTAGGCAGTGGAACAACTGAGCTAAATCCGCGGCCCTCCACTGTATTTGTTACTTGAGGAAAAAATTACTGTTTGGTCTTTCCTTTTTAGATTTAAAAATGGGTGATGTTGAAAAAGGCAAGAAGATTTTTGTGCAGAAGTGTGCCCAGTGCCACACTGTGGAGAAGGGAGGCAAGCACAAGACTGGCCCAAATCTCCATGGTCTGTTTGGGCGGAAGACAGGTCAAGCTCCTGGATTCTCTTACACAGATGCCAACAAGAACAAAGGTAAGAGGACTGTTAAATAACAGCACAAATTGCATGAATGAACTGGGCGTGGCAGCCCACCCCTGTAATCCCAGCACACAGGGAGGCTGAGGAAGGAGGGTCACTGAGTTTGAGGCCAGCCTGGGCTACAGAGTGAGTTTGAGGCCAGCCTGAACTGCATCACGAGACCCTGTCTCAAAAGACCAAGAAAAAAAAATTGGATGAACCTATGGCAAACTTTTAACAGGAATGTAAAATACTTAACCAATGCATTCGTTTTTGTTTAGGCATCACCTGGGGAGAGGATACATTGATGGAGTACTTGGAGAATCCCAAGAAGTACATCCCTGGAACAAAAATGATCTTCACTGGCATTAAGAAGAAGGGAGAAAGGGCAGACTTAATAGCTTACCTCAAAAAAGCTACTAATGAGTAATAGTCACTGCCTTATTTATTACAGAACAGAAACGTCTCATGGCTTTTTAATGTGTACCATAATTTAATAGATCTCATACACTAGAATTCAGATCATGAGTGGCTGACAGAATATTTTTGTTGGACAGTCCTGATTTAAGTAAAACTGGCTTATAGTTAAATGGATATCTTTTTTTCAAGTTTTGATAGTAATTCCAGTTCAGTAAATACTATCACTGTTTTCCCTTTCTAAAAATATGGTTGGACTTGATTAGTAATGTTAGAATTTTCACAAAGATGGAGAATGTTATCTCAAAACCTACTGGAGGTTGATTTTATATTTAGATTTATACATATAACTGGTTGTGTGAATATGTTTAAATACCAGGGAAATCCTTTACTGTCTCACAACCAAGCAAGACTCCTGTTTCAATTTGTTTATTAGCTTGTTAAAGACAGTGGTTGAAGACCAGGAAGGAACATCTATATTTTTTATCTTGACTATGCCAATTTAATTAGAATTCCCTGTATCTAAAGACTGCTGCCTTTTACTTACTGAAAGGCATTTTAGTGTGATGTATGTATAATACTAAATAAAGACTATTTAACACTTCTCACCTTTTATACCAAGTCTTGAAGACTTTTTTTTTTTGGTACTGAGGATCGAACTCGGGTCCTTGCACTTGCGCAGCAAGCAGCAAAACCACTGAGCTAAATCCCTGGCCTACTTCTCACCTTTTATAGTTGATCTATAAGTTCAGATCCTTTTAAAAGCATGATACAGTAGTAAATTAGATTTTATTTTTGAATTCTTTGGACTAAGTTATTCAGGATAGTATTTAAATAGCTATTTAAAAACACAAGATTGAAATTACTGTTTTTTGTGTGGTTGGCAGTGGTGCTTTTTGTCAGCTCTTTAGAAGGATTAAAGTGGGGAAGGTACAACATCACAAATTTGTATGTGACCATAATACTTAATTAAAAACAAAATCAGATTGACTTTTCAGTTCTTGATTTTTTTTTTTTTTTTTTGGTACCGGGG